GGGAATCTCTTCAGAGAATAAGTAAAGCTTGCTATTAATTCTCGAACGGGTATTCTTCCTTCTTATTATTAATAATTGCGACTTGCTTGCATTCATGGCAATTCGCCACTTCGTGCACCATTTTTCAACATCTGGCAGGAACTCCTGTAACTTTTTGATCGCATGGTGTGCGTTTGTGAACTTTACGGCTAATACCGTATCGTTCGCATAGCACCCAAGAAAGTGATTTCTATCGATGTGAGCTCTGGGAAAGTCGTGAACATAAAATAAATACAGGACGGTACTGTCCTGCGTTTAATTTTCTGATTAGTTTAAAGTGTTAAGTACTGACTGCGCTCTGTCATATTCCCAAGAGCTGTACCAGTACTTCTGTGAAAAGTTTCAAAGTGAAAAGTTCAAAATTCTCGTGTTTCGTGTGCATTCAGTCCATTACAAACCCGTAAACATGTAACATTAACTAAGGAATGAAACGTACCAAATGAATAGGAACATGCAGATAAAACTTCTGAATAATTTACTTGTTTAATATTTTATATTTTTGCTCCAAGAATCGAATACCTACAAGCTAAACCTTTTGAAATTTTATAAATCACAAAGTAGTGCTGCATAACTGTCATTTTTAAATACTTTTTGTTCGGCTATGAACAGCATTTGAGCCGCTTCTTTTATCATTGTTATCTTTAGCTGTGCAGAATAATCACATATTTTATCAGAAAAACTGTCGAGTTCAAAATTCAGAGACCTTACTTTCAGCTGACGCATGCGCTACTTTATATTGATTTATTATAACATTTTGATCTTTTATATTCCCCGGTCAGTGATAAAATTTTCATCATGATCTAAATAATGTACTATAATGCAAAAATACATAATATGATAGAATAATGGTCCCACTGTTCTGAATAATATTAGAATAATTTGAAGATTAAATTCGATTATATCTTAAGATTGTTTCGTAGGTGGGAAAAAAATTAATTCATAGTATTTTGATTAACTTTCTTTCCTTTACAAGTGCCGAATATCAATTTGCCATAAACTTGATCAAGTACTGATCAGAAGTTTGTGATTCAAGTGTTTTATCTACACAACAATATTTTAGCATTGATTAACGCTTCCTATTAACTACTGTTAAATTAAAACTAATAGAAAAATGTTTATTGGAATGTTTCTTTTCTTCTAGAATGTATATGATTACATTTATACTCAATGAAAAATAAAATTGATTAGCTAATAGTTCAGTGATTTGTATTAAAGCGCCAATTTTTTAAATTAGACGCTCCAAGAATAATTAGAAAAGGACCTAAAACTCTCAAATTCTTCATTTTTAAAACTGCATTTTCAGCTATAATCATCTGAAATAATGCTAAACACATAATTCAGTTCTGAAAAAATAAGATACAGAAATATTTTGGAAATACTATCAGCAATGAGATTCTCCTTAAGAAATATAAAGCTTATAAAAATCTAGAAAACGAAATAATTTCATAGAATATTTTCTACCTCTTTGCTTAAAAACTGCACATTTTAAATGTGTTTAAATGCAATACATATTGTTACAAAATGCCCAACTTCTCCGGAAAGCGGTTTTAGGGTTGCCAGAAAGTTGCAAGGAAAGGCAGAGTTGTCAGATTTTGTGCGAAATCGCCCATTTGGTGACAAAATTGGCAATATGCCATAGAGGAAGCGAGAACATTCTAGAACGAATTCTTATCGGTTTTCCCGAGAATGTTTTCGAAGGCAAGTCAAAAGCCATATATACCCTGCTTGTACGCAGAGTATGTTGAGTTCAGTAGTAGTGTCTTGAGATTAGCCCGAGAGCGATCGGCGAGTCGGGAGCCGAACTTTGGTACTTTGCCGTGAAGGTGTCTTCACCGTTATAGCTTGAAGGCTGTGTTGCTGATTGTTTCAAAGTGTTTGTCGAAGTTTTTTGACAACTGTAACGCGTCTTTGGAACTGTCCTGCGTAATACTGACAAATAAATTATGTTTTGAATATTCATCAAGTGTGTCATAATACAAAAAGAAAATAACGAGCTAATATTTACTGTACTGCATCTGTATCATATGCTTACGGTTCTAAAATAACAAATGCATAGATTATAAAAGAACACAGACATTATTTAAAACTTTTATTTATATACGGTTCTAAAAGAACAAATGCATAGATTATAAAAAGAACACAGACATTATTTAAAACTTTTATTTATATACAAAATAAACATTTGCTCAAATTCCATACAAAATAGAATCTGCATATCTACAAAGCATACAAGCACCATGACTGTCCTAACACTTTAAAAATTATTCATTTAAATTTCAACAAAATTTAGTAATGGAAGACAAAATATAACTTGAATTTCAAATTAAGCAGACTCATATAATAAACAATTAAAAAATTAGTTATCTTGATCTATACAGAATTAAACATAACGGAACTTTTCATACGTACAAGTAATTATTGAATAAAGTTATACAATTGCGATAAGTGAATAACATATTTACTCATATCATAATTAAATGAATATTTTAGCTAAAATATTGAGTGGTCATGAAATTTTAATGACAAATTTTAGTTTGCTTACTCAAATACAAATTCCAATTTTAATTAAAACTTAATACTGCAAGTGCAAGTAAGTATTAGCACAATTACCTTACTAGAAGTCGATAACTTTCCAGAATGCATCAAGCTTCGGTATCAATATGCAAAACAGGTTTCAGTTTTAACAAGCAATATTGCAATTTTCATATGTGTTTTTTTGTTGCCTTCCAAATTTGACAGTTTTTATAGACAAGCTGTTATATTTTTTTATTTATTATCAATTTAAAAATACAAAGGATTTGTCAGCAGTGAAAAAATACTACAGTAAAATTTTTGAAGGAAAACAATAGTTTGCCACAGATTTGCTAAATGGAACAACTGCTTTGAATCTATGCAATTCTAAGAAGTCATTGTAAAATTTCCATAGGTGTAATTTATTAATTATTAAAAAATAACAACTCACTTTTAAATAGATTTATTGATTAATTTTTGGTGTTAACCATAATTAAAAACTCTGAATATGAGACAGTTTTTCTTAGAAAGTCCTGAGGCATCCCTTCCCTTAAGCAGATAGTCTTTGTGTGTTTTGCTATATTCCAACCTTATTAAAATATAAAGCATATATACACCTAATATTTTTTTTGCAATTCATCATTCGATCTTTTCCTGGATAAAGTGTCAAACTGCACTAAGGAGGTTACACAAATATTAAGTACCAATTTATGACAACACTAGTGCTTTGGATAATGCAAGGATGATACCATTCTTACAGATTTACAAACTATAAATAAGCTTGAAAAAATACAAAATGAAGGTCTTAAGCACATAAAAATACACATACCTGTCATTCAGTTTTTGGTACTAATATTTATACAGTTAAACATTTATAATGATTTATGGGAATCATTTTCTTTAGTTATTTGTCTGAGAGGATACCTTTATTTGGGATTACGGAGTGTATAAGCAGATAATAAAGCATGAGAATAATTACACAAATACCTTAAGGAAATTCCGGATAAAAGCAAGTGGTTTTTTTTAAATGTTAAAATGCAGTTATTTTCCATCGAACTTCACTCTACATTTTTTTAAAGAAATATCTGAGATCTGTAAGTCTATTTAATTAAAAATAAAAATGAAAAATAATAATTAATGATTTGTCCAACAGGAATTGTTTGCATGCTTATTATTATTATTTTATTCATTACATTTTGATTAATTTTGTAAGCATTCCACTGTTGACTGCAGCCTGAATTTTTCTCAACTTTTCAGATTAAGCACTAAAGATTATTAAACTTCTGACACAGAATCTAATTTTTTTTTTTAACTGAGTATAATTATTTAGTCACCTTACTAGTTAATGAACAAGAAACAAATAAAAAAAAAACAAATCTACAACTAAAATTATGATGCCTTAGCATTCTAATGATTCCACATACATATATTTTAAACATTAAAAATGAATACTCCCCCATGAAAACAAACTCATTTAATTGCTTTCAAATGAGTAATAATCAGCTTAGAGTCTATTTTTTTAAATCTATCAACAGCAAACCTACAACAGCTACCCATTTTCTAATAAATATCACCATTTTATCATAAATATCAGCGCAAATTTTCTTTTAAATTTCATTACGAAAATTAGATTTATTATGTCGGTGTGATTATTTATTTTACATACAACTTCACACTAAACAGTTACATTAAAATACATTAACCATAAAATAATGCAACACGAAATGCAGCTGGAGTACATTTTAAAATATAAATATGAAGTTTTAAAAACAGTTTAATACAAGTGGAAAAAATAATAATAAACAAATTTTTAAAGCATACAAAAAAAAAAAAAAAAAAAAAAAATCTATGCTTTTCATTAAGATAAAATTTCATATTACATTTCCTAAAATCTTCATCTACTTTAAATAAACATGGTCAAAATATAACATCAGACCTTTTTATTTTTTTTAATAAGAAGTTATAAATTTGCTTCGATATAATAATTTGAAATCCCATAAAATATCATTCTGAGATTCATGATGTGGCATAACAGTAATACATTTATAATGTAAATATGTCTTCATTCATCCACAGGAAGGTTGGTAATATGTTGATTTACATGCAAGATAATAAAATTTATAGCTTCAGTTCTTTTATCAATTACAGTACTGACTATTGCATCAGCATGTTCATAATCATGCATTAATACAGAAATTATATATAGATATTTCAATAAATGAGTAGAATATATGTATATATTATAGATATTAAGTGATGATTGTCATATCCAACAACATATTTCAAGCAACTTAATACTACATTATTTTTTACTTATATGTGTGTACTTATGTAAAATGCATAAATAAATGTAAGTCTCCTGATTACATTAAAAAAATTAGCCATTAAATGAACATAATTATATTCTATTATTCAGATGTTTTTATATTCTAAAAAATTGATGTTCATATTAATGGAAAGTAAAATATTCATTCCAACTTAACCCCAGGGACGTCAAATTTGACATTTCACCCCACTCTTTCAGCCTGGAAAATGAGGGAAAAAGACATGGCCACTAAAGTGGACAACCCCGTCCTTTCAAACAGAGGACTCTATGGCCCCTATAATGGCCATCCCGTTCTCAAATGGTTAACCAATCCTTCAGCACAAACTAAAAATGAGGTAAAAAATCACAAATTTTGAAGTGAAATATCTCAGTCATACAGAAGTCTAACAGCTTTATTTTTTTTAAATGATTATAGCATTTTCCTAAACATAAGTTTAGGAATTGGGAGAGCATATAAAAAGTTAGATTTTGTAATGTTTACAAAACAGATTTCTTTATATTTAAAAATGCTACAACATGAATTGTTTTAACTTAAGCATTTTGTTTTAATTGGAAGCATATGTCTAAACAGTTGCAATAATAAAGGTCAGATAAGGACTTTTATAGGTACAATGTTTATCACACTTTTGGAATATAATTATGAGTATTTTCACTAGTCTTTCAATGAATTCAGTTGGCATTCACTGTATATCATAGGCACATTTGCATCTACATATCATCTGTATTAACACTGCAATTCCTCTTAATATGACAAAACAAAAAATTACTAACAATATTAAAAATATACACACAATCAGTTTAAATTTAAATATATAGACTATGAAAGAAAAAAGTTGGAATTTAAAACTGTAAACATCACTTAGATTATTTCTTAAAATGCAATATACCTTAAAAATGCAATGCAAGAATTCTGATAAAATTTCTATATATTTTTACAGTGTAAAACAGTTATATTGTTATTTTAGAAAACTGAGAAAATTATCACAGAAATTTGAAGTTTCTCTCAATATATATTCTACGAAAATATCTTACCACTTATTAATATACTACTGAATGGCTACCTCAAGACACAAGTTAAAAGAAATATGTGAATGAAGCATAAATAAAATATATAAACTAATTGAGGATAGTTTCTACTCTTCACCATTCTGCACACATAATTCCTGAAATAAAGAACAAAAACATGTATTTACACAACAATGTATCACAAAATAGTATCAAATGGATGATCAGATTTCATTTCAAGACATGTAGTTCTGTGCTTTCTGATCATCTGCACTCCCACTGAAATGTTGTCAAAAAGCATTGCACTTTATTGGCAAAATGTATTTATATAGCAACCTATGCGCGTAGCACATATGTGTCTGAGTATATGTGATTTGAATTTGTGAAATTCAATTACCATTTTTCTAATTAGTACTGAACAGTATTTTATGAAAATGCAATGTGAAAAATTGCAAGCACAATGATGTAATTCAGGTCAGAAACTATCTTGTTTACAACAGCGCTTTATTTATTGTTGGATAGAGAAACATAAACCGAAGAAATTGTGGGAAGAAGCACTGGGACTACTTCCAAACATAAGTATTGCTGCTGTGTAAGTATCTCAGAGAGGCATGCAAATCTTCTGTGGAAAAGAAAATTGTAAAAAATACACGGCATTAGATGCATTGCTGAAATAGATGTAAGGTACTCAAACATACATTTCTCTCCAAAATCCGCAACAAATTTGTGATTTTTCAATGGAGGTACAAAGAATCAGAACATAAATATATATATTTAAAAAAAAAAAAAATCTTTCCTTTCATCTGCGGTTTACAGTATTCCAAAAGAAATTTTAAAGAAATTAGAGTTTTTCCAATGACAATTATTTTTGTTGTAACTAGATTAATTATATAACCATGTGTTTATAGGATATTGAAATGGAAAATACATAATATAAACTTTTTCGTAGAGAAAATTATGAGGTATCCCTTCTGTTTCGGCCACTAGATCTTTTCCCTATCTGTGAGAGAGTATTTCACATTATGCAGCTTGCATTTTTAATTCTTTTTTGTACCCACTAACTGTGACTCTCTCACTTTGCTTTGCTTGTGATGTTCAGCTGCTGAATAAAAAGATAAAAGTTTACAGTCCACAATGTTGTATTCTTAATATTTACTAATTTAAATTTAAGATACCACAATGAAACATATTTCAGTCCTTCCCATTGCTGGATTTTCAAGAAAAAGGTGCTCTTATTAATAGATATTCTACGTCTTTAGAATGTTGCTGATAATTTTTTCTATTGTTCCTTTATTGTGATTGAAGTATTAGTAAAATTGAGAGTTTAGAATACTTTCACTATGTCAGATAAAGAATAGAAGAAAGTTTTGATAACGCAGTTAACAAAATTCATTGAGAAAATAGATTATAACAGCTTAGATAATGCTGAAGCAGAATTAATCACAGAAAAATGTAAAATTGTTAAAGAAGATTTCAAATCTATATTTAACGAAATTTATTTTTTTATGTTTAACAAATTGTGATAATGATAAAATAGACACTTTCATTGAGGAAGAACAGTTGATTTTATAGAAAATTGAGGAGGTTCAGTTGTTAAAAAAAAGGTCATAAATGGAAACAGTGACAAACCTGTTGTACAGGAATAACCAAAGTTACCAAAATCATCTTTATTCACATTCAGCAGAAATTTAACAGAATGGATAACTTTTAAAGATTTATCTAATGCTAGAGTATGAAACAATATAAATCTTTTTGGAGCTAAAAAATTACAAAATTTAAAAGGTTCTTTGAAAAATGATGCTTATTGCATTATTCAATCAATTCCCATAGCTGATCAAAATTTCAGTATTGCTTGGAATTTACGAGAATATTAAAAGAATACTTAACATTTCACAGATGCTAACAGAATCTGCATCTTTGATATTAAATTTAATGGTTAATGTAAACGAAATAAATCACTCGTTGGATATACTAGATCAAAAGATAGATAATTTTAGTGATACTTTGTTGATGTATATTATTTTGCAAAAACTTCATGTTTTAACAAAGGTATGGTGGGAGCGTCAATCAAAAAAAGACAAAATACCAAAATTCTATCAAGTCGATATAACTTGATAGAATTTTTGAAAAATTATGCTAGAACATTAGAGAACAGTAAACCTTTAATTAGTAAAATGCATAAACCAGATAAACTAATGTATAATAAGGTTACTTCTCTGATTACTAATTATATTTGCTTATTTTGTAAAGAAGATAGTTTTTTAGAAAACTATTCTAATTTTTTTAAACTTGCCAGTACAAAAAAGAATATAGAGTTTGTTAAGACTAATAAACTTTGTTTTAATTGCTTGTCTAATGTTCATTAAGTTAAAATGTTTGCAAATTCTTGTAAATATTGTTTTAACATCATCATAGCATTTTGCACCTAGAAAATTATTTCAAACCAAAAAATGCATCTAATTTCCCTTTATCGCAAGTATTTGCTTCGAAATTGGAGTGAGGTTTCTCCAACTGTTTGTGTGAACAACTATAAAAATAAGCGTTTTGGAGCTCATGCTAATGGTAAACACAGTCATGTACTTTTGTGCACCGCTAAAATTAAGGTTAAAAATTCAAAAAATGATTTCATAAATTGTAGATGTTTGCTAGATTCAGGTAGTAAAAAACTGTTCATTTGTTGGGAAACAGCTATCAATTTAGGATTGAGCATAAAAGATCCGAAGATATTCAGTACAGCAACCATTGCAGAAGTCAACTTGTTTTTTACACCTCATTTCAATACTAGCTATAGAATTTCTACATCGGCTTACAAAATGGACAAAATTACAAGAGACATTCCAAATGTAAAATTATCTTTGAATTTATATAAATGTTTCCACGATTTACTTTAGCAGATCCTATATTTCATGAATCGGGAGAACCTGATATTTTGCTAGGAGTTAACGTGTTCTTTATCTTGATCAATGGAGAAGTAATTAAAAGGGATGAAAATCTTCCATTTGCATTTTGTTCTACATTAAGATGGGTTACTGCTAGAACTACAAATTTTGAATCTCCAAACTGTGAGCAAGTTTAAGTCAATATGCTAAACCTACACACTGAGGAGTTAGTTTGGGATATGGAACAAATTCCCACATCAAAAACTTTAACTAAAGAAGAAAGACCATGTGAAGCCCATTTCATAGAAAATTACATTCATAATGAAAATGGTTGCTACTGATTAAACCAGGCCTAAAAGGAATGTAGTAGGTAATTCCAGACCATCACCATTTTGTATCAGCAGACCAGACCATCAGCATTTCGTAAGTATATCAACAATATACAGACTTCATATATGAATATTTGTCACTTGGACACATGGAAGCATCACTCGATGATAATCTAGATAAAGTAAATGAGCATTTTTATATACCTCATGACAACATACTAAAAGAATCGGGTCCTACAAAACTACATCTAGGATATTGTTTAATGACATACTTATGAATGGTACCAAGGTACAAGATGAATTAATTACTATTCTTTTGAGGTTTAGATGCTACCCCATAGCCATTACTAGTGACTTACTGAAAATGTAACACAAGTTGAAATTTATGATAAAGATCGCGATTACAAAAAAATATTGTGGAGAGATGATCCATTGAAGCCATTAAAACTTACAAGTTGTCCACAGTTACGTACGACACTACTTTAGCTTCATACTTGACTACTTGCATACTCAAACAACTAAGGCTAAATAGGGGCTAAATTCCCAAAGGCAGTTAATAATTCATCATTTTTACATTGATGATGTCTTACTTGGTTCAAATACAGTAGATAATACAGCAGGTTTAATTTCACAACTAAATGAACTTTTATTTTTAAGGGTCGTTTTCATATTCATAAATAATATGCAAATATTGCTTGATTTTAGAAACTCCACTGAAAGCTGAGAACGCTAATTCTTCACGTAGAGTTGTTGATACAAAAATTATTATGCTTGGAGTAGTATCCCATGCAAGATGACTTTACTTGTTACTTTGAAAATTTTGAGTAACAGTGGGTATTCTACTAGATGATTTTTGTCTTCTATTTAAAAAATCTTCAGTCATCTTGGTTGGTTAGCACCTTTCATAGTTACTTCAAAAATCTTGCTTCAAGATATGTGGAAATTACAAATCTGGTAGGATGATCCCTTACAAGGTGAAATCAATCGAAGATGGAAGATATCACAAATCTTGAATGCATTAGCCTTCCTAGAAGAGTATCTTTGCCCAAAGCTACAAATGTAAAACTTTATTGCTTCTGTGATGCATCAGAGATAGGTTATGCCACAGTGATTTATTTAAAGTCTTCAAATAATTCTTCAGTTTTGGTGCAGCTACTAACGTTAAAGACTTGGGTAGCTCCTCTAAAAGTAATTTCTGTTCCTCATTTAGAACTCTACTTTGTCATTTTATTAGTGCATTTGGTTCAACCTATACAGAGTTGTTTACAAATTCATGTTGATGATATTTATGCATGGAGTGATTCAATAATTGTTTTGCCATGGATACAACTAGAATCCACACGCTGGCAAACCTTCATGGCTAACTGTGTTTCAGAAATTTTATCAGTTCTACAATCATCATATTGAAATCACATAAGAGGAAATGAAAATCCTGCTGACAGTGCATCAAGAGGTCTTTTACCTTCAGAACTCTCTGCTTATGATTCATGGTGAACAGGACCTCAATGGCTCAGTTCAAATAATATTCCATTCTCTATCAATTTACTGCTTTCAGAAAAGTCCTTAAATGAAGTTCCTACTTTCAGTCCTTAAAAGAACAATGCAAAATGTTTGTTGTTCGATTTGAACAATTGCTTTGCTAATTCCAGTCCTTAATGAAGTTTTATCATTCTTGAAACTTAAAAGAATCATCACATGGTGTTTTCGTTTTGCGAATAATTCAGCAAAATCTACACCAACAAAGATTAAAGATTACCTTAAAACTGAAGAATTGCAATAGACTAGAAATGCAACTATTAGAATAGTTCACAAGCATGAGATTTTAAATGAATTTTATCTTTTGAAGAAGAATAAATCATTATATTCAAAAAGCAAGTCTTTGAACCCCTCTATTGATAAGAATGGAATTGCATGTTTTGGAGTAAGAATAAGACAAGCCAACATCATACA